ATACACATCTGAACTTATTACTAAAAAATGTGAATTAAAACTACTTGCACCAGACAAATGGCTCTGTCTAATAAAACCTGTATCATCCCATTATTCTTTAACGTCACCAACTGCTTGTTTAACTTCACAGATACCTGCTGGCCAGTACCTTGGACCTACGGACAGCACAGGAAATAGCAGATCAGCAGAAGACTTAAAACTGCAGCGCACATATGGCTTACGTTGCAAAATCTGTAGATTTTAGGGAGTATGCAAGAGTAGTTGCACCTAAACAGAAAAAAGCTAACCAGGTACACTCATTACATTCTGACAAGCTAGCTAAAAGGCCTTTGAAATACTATATTAGAAGTACAGCCTCTATTCTCAACCACGAACTTCTCATTTCCCATCAGAGAAGATCCCTGCCAAGTTCCCAAGGCTTTGACCAATCATAAGCATTGTAAAATGCACTGAATCATTACTAGGAAGAACAGGAGAGACAAAACCACAAATACTCAGGAGGCTTTTTTTCCTCAACTAAGGGAATCCTTTCTTAGGTTATTCAACACTGCTGAGGGGAGCAGGTGCAATACCAGTGTTACTGGTGCCTACAGGGGCCACCTCTATGCAGATGAAGACAACAAAGTTCCCTGGCAGCTTCAAATGCAAACAAGGAAATAAACTTCCATACAAATAAGAGGCAAGCCCTGAACAACTTTTTCATCACACCAACATGAAGTATCTCTGCCTATTACCTGGTCAAACCTGCCAAGATCTTTGGAGGAATAAGAGTCGTGTCTGACAGGGATACTATTCTTTCTTTTCAATTTATTATTTTTTTTCTTATTTCCTGCCCCAAATCCTGAATGTTCTAGAGATAGTTAGACATAAAACAATTTTTATGATACCTCCTAACATTTAACATTAGGAAATTTCCTATGACAAATTTATTCTGCTAAACCTATGTACTTCTGAATACAAAGCTATTTACATTCCACAAATCTTTGTTTAGAGTGAGTGTAAAAATTTTTCTCAAATCGCATTTCAAGTTCAGCATGAAAGCACAGAATCTATTAGCTGTTAAAACGCATGCAAATCTTCCCAATAATGTCTATAGAGTATTAAAAGGGCTAGAAATAACAGAAAGCAGAAAACCTTAGAAAGGCTTAATTGCAAAATATTTAAGAAACTAACGAACAGTTCGTGCTCAGTTCTTGCAGTATTGTTGTGATAACATTACTAATAGACAAAATAATCACAAAGCAGCTTTGCAAAGTTTCTCCATGAGTACACAGTTTCCACCTTGGGTACTAAGCAGTGGATTGGATACACAAACAAATCATTAGTGATCTGCTCTCCCTGGCCCATTTAAAGCAGTCACCCCCCACCATCCCAGTGCCATTAGCTATTCCTAACACCAAACCACAGCCACCCTCCAGAGCAACTAAGGGTCCCTTTAGGCTTTGCCTTCCCACCCATCATACTCCTGTATGAAGCAGACAGGCAGCAATTTCCTGTTGTAATGTATTAACTGCAACTAGTCCACCGACAAAAAAGATCCAAAAAAAGCAGTTTCAGGCAGGTCAAAATAAAATAAATAATTTTAAAAAAATGAATTATCAAACTACAGTGAGAAGCAGAAAAAAAGAAGCAGGAATTGCCAAGACTTCTAAGACTGTCAGAGGGATCATGCTGAGAAAGGGTGAATCAGCTGGCAGAGACAGCACACACCACTGACCAGGCAATCTTTCAGCCAGCACTAGGACACCAACACTAACACTTCTTCTGGCAAGTTCTAAAGCATCTCCCATACAACCTCCTCTCCAAGGCAAGAAATCATAACACAGCAGCACTGAAAATTAAACTGTTGTCACAAAGCTTCATCTAAATTCTCCAGGTAGATTCACAGGGGTTTATCCAGTTGCAATAAATTCTGGGGAAGGAATAAGGAATCTTCTGCTAGTTTCTTGTTGTAGAGATCTTTCAATCACTGCTAAAAAGGCAATAATTCTTTTCTGAAGTGCTATTTTGAAGAGTCTTTATAAGAATTTAAATCTTTTCAATAGCATCAGTATTTCTACTGAAGGTTTTGTGTGTGTTTTACTAATATGTTTAAGTATTGAAAATCCTGACCATGTAATGCACCAAAAGATAACTCCTATGGGTCAGACACTTGTTTCAAAATGCCCAGGGAAAAGAAGTAAACACAAAACTCTTTATCCCCTATTGCAAATATATACCCAAGATTAATGAAATCTAAGCTGAAATGTTTAGATGATGTATGTTGATTCAGGAATTACACAATATGTTCATCTTATCTGAATGGTCAGGGACACATCCATCCAAGTGTTTGGGACTTGGTCTCTCTCTTTTTTCTCCCTTTTTGAATCTGGGAAAAGAGTAGAAATGGGAGAAATCATATTATCACTGCCAGTGGCTCCACCTTCTGTGGCTTAGTTTTATGATAAAAAACAAGCAGACCAAAGAGGTGACACATTCTACCACACAAAGCATGGAAGATTAACTTGTGGATTTGTTGATACTTTTGCAGAAAGACAAAAGATATTCTATTTTTTTAATTTGCTTTTGTCTTTGAAGACTGCAATGATAGATTCACATTTCAGAGAAATCTGACATTTTCATCATACAAAATCCCAAGGATGCAAAGAGATGGCAAGGATGCAAATTGAATCTTGTACTGTTTGTCATCATAAGCAAGAACTGGATTTTGTTGCCTGAAGACTTCATTGTGAGGTATGCCTTTCACCTTGATATTAACTCCAGGTCAAAATATAATGGTATAATATTGATCAAGTTTAAACTTGAACTGAGGCAGTAATTGTTACTCTTACAAAGATCGTTTTCAAGTTCTAATTTACAGTGAAAAGACACTAAAAATACTGCAAAGAGTCTATGCTTGTTGAAAATTGAAATGCAATCACAAAACACATCTATTTGTGACTTATCTGTCACCTCTTTAAACAAGTAATACAAAGGCCTTCTTTTGCAAATCCATAGGCCTTCTTTTGCAAATCCATCACCACAATATATAATGGTTCATGGAAAACAGACAACAGAGGAGGAGAGGGGCGAGTCAACTACACCAGCACCACCCTCCAAAACCCCCAAGGGGCCAAATATAACTCATGTTTCTAAACGCTCTCAAACCAATCATGTAGAGGGAAAGGACTCCTTGCCTACAGAACACCACTTGCAGAGAAAGGAACGATGAAACACTTTCTGAATCATTTCTCTTGCAAAGACAATGTTCACCGTTTTGAAGATGAAAATCATTTGCATTCAGACAGCGTGCACACAACAGTGATCACAGGACACAACCATATATGCTAAATTTTACACTCAGGTTATGGCTGCTAACACTTTACAGGTATGAGATGACTTCTGGTTAATGACTAATATTTCAACTCTTTGACTTTCTCAGTTGATTGAAACAGTAGGTGACACCTACACATAAAGGATGCAGGAAGAAGTACCTGGGGATACAGACAGCACAACCCATTTTTCATTTGAAATCACAACTGCACAGGAACTCCTCCAATTGGCACTATTTACTCCACAAGACAGCAAAAGGAAGCCAAGTCCTCACTAGTAAGACTATCAAACTGCAAGTGCCTGAACTGGGAGTAACACCCTTTCCTTCCTTCACAAACAGGCCTCGCTGTCCCTATTCAGGTCCTCAGTGGCCACCTGTCAACGCTCTCAGAGATCTGCCCACACATCTGAAGATTATGCAAAGATATAAAGGCAAAGGCGTGCTCCTATACCCCAAGCTCACATCCCACAGTCAGCACTCAGCTTTCCAGGTGGTTTCCAGCAGCCTGCTAGAGCAGAGGTGGGACTACCCATGACTGTTAGTCAGAGCAGAAGACACACTCCTGAACAGGAGCCAGAGCTCATTGCTTTCAGATCACTGAAATGTATTTTAAAATAACATTTTAAAAAGAAAGATACCTAGGAAAAATTTGAAATCCTTGTGACTTAAGTCTAGCAACTAAGTCTTCACAAACCTGATCAAATTACTTCAGGAGAAAAAGCTTAAATGCACTGCCTAATCACGTGAAACATTTTTTTTTTAAGCACTAGTTTCATAGCTTCAAGTCCTTAAAGTATTCACATTGAAATACATTTCTTGGTCTTAAGGTAAAAATGGTATTGCTTTAACAGACAGCAGATTTTACAACAATAAAAAATACAATGTTTTCCCATAGAAAACATCATTAATAGTCTCAGTGATACATGGTTTCCATTAGCTACACGCTATGCACTTGGTTATCAATTTTGCATCTTAAGTGAGAATATATAATAATCAATGTCAAAGCAAAAACAGCTCTACTTTAAGAAAAAAGCAAAAGCAGCAGCTACTTAACAGAATATTCAGAGTGTTACAGTTCTGCTGAGAACCTGAGAATCTCAGTCTTCTTTCTTTCTGCAAAATACAGACGTAACTACTCCACATAATTGCTAACACAGAGAAACATGAAGTTTCACCAGTTCACAATGTGCTGATCAGGCACACAGTCAATTTAGCTGCTGTTCACAAACGAAGGAATGTACTATGTTTACTTCTGGATTACACAATCAATTAAAGGCAGGTATTTTTAGTTTTTACTATAGCCATTATTTGAGTTAGGTTAGAGCCAAGGCTCTCCAGAAACAATTATCCATTTAATACCCTACACATCCTATTTTTGGATTCAAGTTAGATTCTTCAGTATCTAACTTGGATTTAAAATGGCAAGGTTTAGATAACTAAACTTTTCAACTCTCTTTGCTAGCTAAATTCAAAGATAAGGATCATCGTCAGCTGAGGGGAAAAACAAAACCAAAACCATATATTAATACTAGTTTGCATATAAGCATACAGGCTAAAGAAATATTCCCACTTGCTTATATCACATGTTGACTCTCAGCTACCCAAAAGCACAATTTAAATGTAGGTAGAATATTCAGTCACCCTGCTTGAACCTGAAAAAAAGCCCTGTGCTCTGGAAACAAGGGTTTAGATTTCCAAATGCCTTACTGAATATCCCAAACACAATCAGGCAGCCCACCACACCACTGTTAATCCCAGCAGTGTGTGCCAGGGAGCCCGAGCGTGCCAGTCTGATTCCAGCACTGCTCTCTGTCAGCTGGAGAGTCACACTGAAATAACCCTCAGCTCTGAGACCAAAGCCACATATCTCGTGGGAGGAGACAAAATTCAGACCCAGAAATGACAGCCCGGCCCTTCAGCTTGATGTGAGCAGGTTAAAAAACAGCCACAGTATTAGTTTATATACTGGACTGTCTTTAAGTAATTTCTTAACCTCTTTAAGGCAAAAGCTTGGCCACTGGAGGAAACTGGCTTGCTGGTCAAACCCAGCCCTTACACTTTGTAAGGTCACCAACACTGATCAACACTTCAGCACCCACTCAACACTGGGTGTAGCTGCAATTTATAATGTTTATATTTACATGTCTTTTTATATGCAAGCATTAATAACTCAAAATGTATGTAAACTGACATCCACTTGAACTCTGCCAAGACTAACTGGCAAGAGATAAAGCAAACTCAGTACTGGAAGACCATGTTAATCACTATCACAATAAAAAGTCATTTATCCCTATTAGGATACTTATATATACACATACTTTATATCTATGCATAGTAATACATATATACACACGTCAGCACATTCTTACAGATTACACATCTATACCTAACTGTGTGTACACAGAATATTTCATTTTTACCACTGCTGGCTAATAGCAAATATTTGCTTCACACTGTCCAGGGAAAAAAAAAATAGAAGGTATTCTCAAGTGTGGAAAATACATACTCATTTGTCAAATTCTCTGCAGAAGCATCCACAACAGAGGAAAGTTGTATATGCAACTTTTAAAGTGCTGAAAGTGATCGAATATCAATCTGTATACATCTATATTCAAGTAGGATTAGCCTTAATTTTAGAACTTAGCCTTAATTTTAGAAACAGTTCCTAAAAGCCACAAGATGACAAGACATTCCTCTCCTCTGCAGAGACAGCCTTGAATGTGGACAATACAAATCCCCAGTCCTTGTTAATCTACAAGTAGATATCAGCTAACTAAATGGAAATACTGCATTTTCCAGCAAATTTATGTCCAAATTTCCCACTCATGGCTGGTTCAGTCAATAATAATAATAATAATGGCCAGTCTTCGCGAGCGAAGATTTGGGAAGGGTCATTAACCCTTCAAGCCTGCGCAGTGGATTTTTTAGGTGAGACACAGCGTGCGCTGAACTGAGCCCACCCTTTAATCCTGAGGTTCATCTGCCGGGGCCGAGTGAAACTCGGACAGTGGTGAAACTCGGACAGTGGTGAAACTCGGACAGTGGTGAAACTCGGACAGTGGCAGTGAGGGTCTCAGAACGTAGGTTTGTTTAGAGTGACCTTGTGAAACTCGGACAGTGGTGAAACTCGGGACAGTGGCAGTGAGGGTCTCAGAACGTAGGTTTGTTTAGAGTGACCTTCTCTTAGATGGATTGCCTCACAGGGCTAACGAGCTCCATCTGCCCGGGGGGCCAGGAATCGAACCAGGGTCGCAGCGGTGAGAGTCCTGCACCCTAACCACTAGACCACCAGAGGCCCCGGTTCAGTCAAAGCACTCAAAGAACACACCGAGAGTTAAGCTGGGGTAAAAGCTGGTTTTAGCAAGAACAGAAGCAGCCATACACAAATCATACATTTCCAAAAATGTAAAAGAATGCACTAACAGTTCATATGCAATTTTCTCATCCATTTGGCCCAACTTATCAGGTGTATTTCCATTCCAACCCTGAAAACACATACAGCAGTCACTGTCTTCCCCCAACTACTAAGAGTTCACTCAGTGCTGTCTGACTAGAAGATTAAAGTCCAAGCCCTCCCACTTCGCAAGTCTGCTCCCCTTCCTCTTCATTCATTTGCACAATTTAAGACATTATACCTTGTTTACTTCTCCCTCTCTATTTCAATTATGTCACTCCAGTAGATTGCTTATCTTGCAAGGTGCTCCCGAAGGGTTGTACATGCACGGACTTGCCCCTTATTGAACTATTTGTTTATTTCATGTGAACTGAAGAAGAAACACAACTGAAACTGCTTGAGCAGCAGCCTTCTGCATTTTCATTTAACGTCAATTCACCTGAAAGAAATTTGATAACCCATTTCTTCATACTGAATAGCCAGTTATAAGGGACATAGGTGGATCATGATCACATCACAGTGAAAAGTTTTACAGGGAATGAAGTATTGTATCTAACTATGATACTATGAGGAAAGCAAATCCTCAGCCCACATCACACTCTGCTGTGCTCCTGCCTCTGTAAGAATTAAGTTCTAAGATGCCATGAACTGATTACACGATGCTGCTGCTTCCCCTGCCTTCAGCCATGACTCCCAGACCCTCCTTGCAGGGAGGCTCCTGTGGCTACCCAGAGTCCTGGTAAGAGAATTGAAACAAGCTGAAAACTAACCTTCACCAAAAGTCACTTTTTCC